ATGAAATATAACATTAAAATACATTAATATTTGTTTAGTATAAATTTCATAAAACAAATACTTAACAGCTAGACTTTCACAAGACTTCTAAACCCCCAAAGATCTGGGCTAATGCAGAAATCACCAATGCAGAAATCTTGCTAGGTTTCGGCAGTTTTATGTGAGTTTCACATTCTTGCAGGAGGTCTTGCTACATGTCAGGAGTTTTTAATTTAATTTTGGAGATGCATGGGCACTGTCAAGGGGTGTAATAAGTAGCACATTGCCCATTTCCATCCCATTCTCAAAGTGACCTCCAATAAAAAATGTAAAATGTCATTAATTCATTGCAGCCATGCATCACCTACCAGGTTTTTGCTCTGTTGCTGAGTGGAGGATTTAAAGGCCACTGTAGGAAATTCATTCCTCAGATACTTCAGCCATTTTGCAACGATCTCTTTAGATACCAGATCTGGATCAGGAATAGATTGAGAAAATGAAGGTGTCCTTAAAAAAAAAAATCACTTTGCTGCCAGTTCACTGGGGCCACACCTGCTCTTTTGTATCCCAAAGGTACACAAGTTACCTTTCAAAATCTTGTGTGTTTCAAAATTGTAATCCTTTCATGCTCTGCAGATAGATCACCCAGAAGGCTAAGCAATAACATCCTCAATTCCCCAGACACAAGCTGATTTCAAAATAATCATGACCATCTTCTACTTAAGAGTCAATACTATTAATGTGGACTAGAATATCCAAGTCACTTATCCAATAATCATGGAAAGACAATCGATATCTGGTCACTTATCTTAACTGTCATTGTGAATGAATGAACCATGAACAAAAAGCATAAAAGCAACAAAAAAAATCTTCTACAGTTAGTTGAGGCCAAATGCAGTATCTAGCAAACTTCTGAGTGATTTTCCCCCCACTCTACCCTCTACCACCCAAACCCTGAATTAAGTCATGATTGCAACGATTCCTGAATTGAAGCAAAGTAACTGCAAAATAAGCCAATGTAATTCAACACTTTATTTCAAGTATATTTCCCAGATGCCTTCGGTGCAGAATTTGAATCTGTAGAGAGAAACCCTTAATAAGAAAAGGTCTAANGAAAAGGTCTAATCTCGTATTCTTGAATCACATATGGCTTCACTTCCTTTCCACAAAGAACCTAGTCTTGCTACTTACCTATTTTATTCAACACCAAAACCAATCTCTTGTCGGTTCCAGCCTGCACCACTGCTTCTTCAACCTGGGGGCATCGGCAACCTTGAGGATCCCGAGCATCAAGGACTTCCAAGATCACATCAGCTGCTTCAATTACCTGGAGAGAGCAAAGAACTGGAGTATCCAACACTGATCCAACCCAACCCAACCCAACAGAAGCCTCACCATGCACAGCTCTATTTTTCTTGGTGCTAAAAGTATCAAGTCACATTCATCTTCACTGACCTTCCTGAACTCTTTGTAATACGCCTTGCAAGAGCTGTCTTTTTCCAGTAGGGCATGTTTGGCCAATTGCTTCAGATCCATCTCCTGTGGGAAGAAGATTATTCACATGGCCAAAGGGATGGAATTAAAATTCCACAAGACAGATGGCACAGAAAAGGTTCTCATAGTTAGAAAATAGGTAAAAGGCAAAGATTTCCCCTGTCCAGTTGTGTCTGATTCTAGAGGGTGGTGCTCATCTCTGTTTCCTAGCCGAAGGAGCCAGCATGGTCCAAAGATGCTTCCATGGTCATGTGACCTGGTGTGTCTATGTGCTAAAGCGCATGGAAAGCTGTTACCTTCCCACTGAAGTGGTACCCATTTATCTACTCGCATTTGCGTGCTTTCCAACTGCTGGAAAATAGAATACGTACGGTGTCCTTAATTTCATAATGTGAGATTGTACATCCTAGCTGCATTTGTACTTATACTGCTGCCTAGAAAATAGCTATTATTTGATTGCTGCTGTACGAGAAATTCATTTCCTATTAGGGGAGGCATTTCTACTCAAGTTGTACATAGACAGAATAGAATCTTCCATAGGGGCCTTTTAAAATGCAATACTCTGTTCTCCAAGAACACCTTTTTAAAGTTATTTAGAAAACAGAACTATTTATTTAATCATCCCCCATAAAATATATCTGTTCTTTGCACACTGTGAATTTTGAAATCTCTCCTTGAAATATCATGCTTTCCTATCTACTGCTTTCTTGATACGCTTTTTTTAAAAATTGATCTGGAACTCCAGGCTGTTCTCTTAGACAAAGTTTACAGACAAGCAAGCCATTCATCATTATTTCTTTCTTATTAAATTCTTTGAAAAACATAGATGAGTAAGTACAAAAGGAAACAACCAGCAATTTTAAAATGTCATGATATTCTAAAATATCACTAGTTTTGAACTGTTAAGCATATTATATGCATTGTATGAGTAAGAATCATTACTAAATTAACTCATTGCCATTTTTAAACCAATTCTACCTCTGGCTTAAAGTGGGGTGAAGACGTGCTCTAATTTAAAATTAGAAATCTGATGACACTTTTTCAGACTAACTACTTTGATTAAAAGACATGTCTAGTCACTCTATGCATCTGATGAAGTTCACAAAAGCTTATGCCTTTTAATCAAAGTTGTCAATTGGAAAAGATGTTGCCAGAGTAATTTTTTTGCCACCTTAGACCAATACAGTTCTCCTCCTATGATGTCTGTTGTAACTTAGCAACAGCCAACTCATAGCCCTTCGGCACCTTGAAAAAATTTCTTTTTGGAGTGGGGATGGGATAGCCAGACAAGAGATGGAAATTTCCACTCAGTAACTGATTTGCTTTATGCCTTTTTGTAGAAATAATTGGTATTGGGCTTTTTGTAAAAACGAATGAGAAGAAAGTTGCAACACAATTCATTCACTTAAGGCTATAATCCCATTGATATGTGCCAAGAACTGAATCCTATCGAGCGTGTCTGGATGTGTCACCAAATAGACCTGCAGTAGTCCGCTTTGTGAGAAATCCTGTGTAAATGATCAAAAATCAATCCAGAACTAAAACTGGGGTCCTCATAGTTATTTTGATGTACTTCTTTCCTACTTAAATAAGCATTTGTCTAACCAGCTACAGAAATGTACAGAATATCTCTACCAATATATTTGAGCTGCTTAAAAGAACAGCCAGAAGAAGGGGACAATCAAAACTTCTATCAAAGATGCATAGACAAACCAGACTTCCTGCAACTGGATTGGGTATATGTGCCATGAGGGAAGATTACCAACTTAGATTCGCTACCTTCTGCTCAAAGAGCTGCTGTCTGTGCAAGGCATCCTTCTGCAACCCTTCCAGGCTCCGAAAGCGGCTGATTTCCTTTTGTCGTGCCGTTTGTTGCCGCTCCTGCATTTCTTTCACCTGGTTAGATGGACACAATCTTCAGCTAAGGGGGTGCTAGCAACCCTGGTGCACAGGTCTCATAGCTCCAGTAATGGGTATCACTCCTATGCCATCCCAAACTCCATAGCCCTGAGCAGGGAAATTAATTCAGGTACCTAAAAATCCCATCTTTGCCTCTGTTCTCCCACGTGGTTAACCTTACCCTTTTCTGCCTTAGGGCCAGTTCCTTTTTGACATGTTCTTTGAAGCGTGACAGTTGAGGTACTCCTGAATCTTTTTTCCTATGTGGTTTTGTATCCTTTTTTTTCTATGAGAGGAAAAAAGACTGCACTGGATTCGATTGCAGACATAAAGCTACATATATTCATCACCTCTGAGAACAACAATACTAGATCCTTGCCTTTCCAGCTGATAATCTTTTGACCCTTTTCCCTTTGCTAAAGAATAACTTATCTCAGGGGTGTTATTTCCTTATCTCAGGGGTGTCAAACTCAATTTCATTGAGGGCCGCATCAGCATTGCGGTTGCCCTGGGGGGGGGGGTGTGGCCAGGGTGGGTGCGGCCTACTGGGTGGGCGTGGAGTGGGTGTGGCTTACTGGGTGGGCGTGGCCAGCTCTACATCATTCGCATCAAGGGTGCCTGTGGGGGCCTGGGTAGGAGTGGGATAGATCTGAGGGTCTCTGGCAGAAGGGGGTGGGACCAGGGCAAGTGCCAAGGCATGGTCCACTGGAGGAGCCTCACCGTTCCTCTCAGGCCATGTGGGGGGGGCTGGATGGGGGGGCTGCCCGGAGCCCTGGGCAGCAGAGGTCAAATGCCCAGCCTGGCCCTCAAGCACCCACGGTACCAAGCCCAGCCACACTTCCCCAAGGGGGCGCCCAGCTGCAATTACCTCCTCCTCAAGGCTGCTGCTGCTGTGCTTGCTCTCCTTAACCAGGTTGCTCATGATGGGTACGAGGGCAAAGTCAGAGGGAGGCCCATTCCCTCTCCATGGGAGAAGAACCGGCTTTGTATCCAAAGCTTCCTTAGCAATAGGATGGGAGACCCAAGGATAGGCCAGGAGGAGGGGGCAAGGGGATGGTGAAAGGGCAGCAGGACCGGACTAAGGCAGGACTTCCCTCAGATCCTCCCTCTCCTTCTTTCCTTCCTTCCTTCCTTAAGTATAGAGTGGTGGGAAAATATTTGAGATGAGGGAGGGAGAAAAACAGGCAAGAAACACAGCCAGGGCCAGGGCCAAGGTAGCGGGGGCCATTCCCTCACTATTTCCAGGATGGCTTTACGGGCCACATGAAACCACTTCGCAGGCCGCATCTGGCCCCCAGGCCCTGTGTTTGACATGTCTGCCTTATCTGAAAGTTACTTACAGCAGAATTGATACTCTAATAGGAAAAACACAAATTACGGGTAGAAGGTAACATATCATTGGCAGCTTGCATGATAAAAATTTCATCTGGAAGCACACGGAGATACTTGGGTTACATTTTGATTCATCACCCAAACCCTGTGTCTTATGTTTAAAACAATTCTGCTTCACTAATGTAACCAGCAACCATTCCACTATCAAATTCAAAGGTGCTTGCCTTGCTCTCCCATCAATTCCCACTGTCACCTCTACCACAAAAACTCATTTTTTTTCAAGATTCTGTCTTACGTTGCTATGTTTGGATTTCTTGCTGGATTTTTTCTGTTCTGCAAAAGAGAAAAAAAGGGGGAATCAGAGATAAGCAAACAGGATTACTCATTTAGAATTCCAATTAGATTGGAATAATTGAAGCAGATATTTACTATGCCGGGTCATGATGCTAAATGTAGGAAGAGGATTAGGACTCTCTTTTTCTTTCCAACATTAGTTTTTGAATCACCTTTTTGTCTCCTGATTAATAAGACCTGGGGAAAAAAAGAGAAAAGTTAGTCTATGTAGTTTTCTCATCAAATTAATAGAGTAGATTGCTCCTAACAATATCCTAAATTATAACAACTGAAAGCTGCCCAGAATCACTGTCAGTTGGGCAGCATATCAGTGTAATAAATATTTAATTTTGGCATAATGCATTACATGAATCGAGCCGCTATGCTACATAAATCATTGTTTAATGTGATGTGTAAAGTTACAAGCCTAAATTATCTTTTCACACCTCATGTTTTCAAGTGGTCATAATCCTTCAGTATTGCCTCTGCCACATGAAGTAATGAGAAGGAAATGGGTGGAATATACTGGCACATGTAACCTCCAGAAAAAACCATAGACATCCTATGATCTTTGAGGGACATATGGTAGAAATTGAGAAGACTCTACAGGCAGTCCTCAACTTATAGCCATTTGTTTAATAACTGTTCAAAGTTACATCACTGAAAAAAGTGACATACAGCTGTTTTTCTTACTTATGACCACGTGCAAAAATCCCATGGTTATATGATCAACATTCAGATGCTTGGCAACTAGCATGTATTTCTAATGTTTGCAGTGTCCCAGGGCCACGTGATTACCTTTTGCAATCTTCTGACAAGCAGTCAGTGGGGAAGCCAGATTCATTTAACAACCGCCTTACTAACAACTGTTGTGATTCACTTAACAACTGTAGCAAGAAAGGTCGTAACATGGGGCAAAACTCACTTAAATACTTTCTTGCTTAGTGATGGAAAGTTTGGGCTCAATTGTCATAAGTCGAGGACTACCTGTAGCGGCACCATGACAGAAGTGTTAGATTTGGATGGAGGATTTAGATTTCCCGATTCAAATTCCCACTTGGTCAGAAAGCTCACCAGCTGTTAAGGCTAAAATCGCAACCCGCAATTTACCTTACAGAAGGTTATTCTAGATCAGTGTTTCTCAACCTTGACAATTTTAAGGCATGTGGACTTCAACTCCCAGAATTCCACAGCCAGCGCTGTGGAATTCTGGGAGTTGAAGTCCACATGCCTTAAAATTGTCAAGGTTGAGAAACACTGTTCTAGATAGAAGTGAAGTGAAAGGAAACCTATCTGTATCTGTTGCCTTAAGGTCTCAGAGAAAAAACAAGACATTAATGCGAGAATAAAGAAAATCTTATTTTCAAAGAGCCTGATCATGATCAATGATAGTAAATCCTTCCCCCCCCCTTCCCTCTGGCATCTTACACCCAACTTATAAAAAGCAGGAGAATCAAATGGTAGTTCTTCCTGAGATTGTCCCGTTTTCTCCAGCTAATATTCACGTGTTGGAATATCAGTCCCGACAACTAATGTTTACAAAGATCCCGTTTATTTCCCCCCCCCCCCCCCCCCCCC